AATGCGTGCCGCATCCCAAAAAGGGATTGATCAACGGCAAATGCTTTATTTTATTTATTATTATAACTGAGAAGTGCTGAGAGAAAGGAGAACTAGGGCGAAGTGTTTGCAAAAAAAATTCAACGTCGTTCGCAGATCCCAACGACTACTCAAAAAAAACTCACGTCGGCTAGGTCGTCGATGATAGGCTAGCGCTACATAGGGTGCGCTGCATTGGGGCTACACTGAGTGAAATGACCTTCAAGCACTGTTTACTACACGACTCTGACATACATTTCCAGAGAGGAGCCAAATTCCAAATTGGAAAGATTAATGAATTGTTGATCAGGAGCAGTGTAACCCTTGAGCAAGAATAACGCAACTATTTCCACAAAAACGCTAGCTTGTGCTAACCGTGTTCGGTCATGAGCAGTTGTGGGCCGGAAGTAGGTCAAGTGGTTGAACCTTATGTGGGCAGCTATAATCAAGCGTAACGATACGTAGACGAAGTTTTTCCAGTCGTGCTCAGCCGAAAAAGGCAAAGAAGCAGGTTGAGGGTAAGACTTGCTGCCTACTAGCATTTCTTTCATAAAAAGTTGCCACTGAAGCATGGCCAAGAGGCTAGACCAGGGTGAATATTGCTTGAGGATTCCTCAACGGCACGTCGAGGATTTTCGCCTGATCCTTTACGTTCTCGCGCGCGGATATTCACTCTCGCCACCCGCGAGCCGTCTGTGCTCTCCGCGCGTACATTCACTCTCGGCACTACTCTCGCACAGCAGAGAGCGATGGTCGAGGAATTCCTCGACCGTTATTCACCCTGGGATGGGCCCACCATTCAAATCGTAGATCAGCTTATGAATCGCATTGCAATTTGATTGTACTGGGAAGTCACGCATTTATTTAGGTTTGTTGAAAAGCAGTTGTTTGACAGTCGTCTTCCTGACTTCAGCATTTCAGTGTTTGTTCCTGTGCCCATGAAGGAGCTTGAAAATGAGAAAGTTGTGGAGCCACAGATTCAATATGTTTATCCTCCGAAGCCAGAGACGGTAGACGTCGGTAAGACACAGAAACACAGAATGGCCTTAATTTAGTGCATAATTCTATACTGATTATGTATGTAAGAGGAACCTTTTGAATAGCTTGACAAAGTTTAGGAAAGAATTTGCTAGCTTGACTTTCAGGTCATCCTCCAGGAACAAAAAGCTCCTTCAGGTTTTTGAAGTATGTTGCTGTTTCACAGGATGTTCTCGGGGTTTCCGTCTTCCCGGAGTGGATTTGAAGGCAAGGGTCAGGATCAGTTTGGTGTGGCCATCCCACTCAAATACGAAATTAGGGATGCAAAATCGATCTTAGGCGGAGAAAAAAGAAAACACTGTGGAGAAGTCCAAGAGGCAGACAGAAAAGTAAGAGATGATGTGAATTGCGCAGATGAAGGAGATGCGGGTCGTGATAGTGCAGCTCAACAACTTGACAGAGACATATCGAACGGTGAGCAGCAACTGATTGACCGGGTATCGGCGCTTTGGAAATGTAAACGCCTAGTGCCTTTATGAGACGTGTTGAGATGCTATGTTTGTTGTTGTTGCGAACCGTACTGTTGTGAACCTAAGACCTCCACCCATGGAAGGCTAGTGAGGCTGAGCCCGACATTTGTAGCTAAAAAAGATCCCCTGGTCTTAACAGGATCCGCTCCCACTGACAACGCACCATTGAGCGATGTACCCAACCTAGAGCCTTACGTATTATTCTGTCCCAACGAGGCCCCATAGAGAAGCTCATCGGCGTCGCGGACGCGTTCGCGTGTTGGTGACGTCATTTTGACGTCAGAGCGGCGGCGAGGAACGAGCAAGAGCCGGCGTTGCCGCCAATTCTTCGAAACATTAGGTACTGCTAGCATTTATTATATTTCAACTTTACTACGAAATAAAAATCGATTCATAGGAATGGACTTCAGCTTGATTGTGCTCTCCCAAGGATTTACACAAAAATGTTGAATGCGTTTAGTTAAATGCCAGCAACCTCACTACTGTTTGAGTGAGGTGTCAGCAGCGCTGGCACATCTTTTCATCGCTCCTGCCTTATTGGTAGCTGTGACGTCACAAATACGCGCTCGCGTCCGCGCCGCCGGTGTTGTTTTTTCTTCCCCCTCCCCTCCCCCGCGATAATGATGAGAGCACATCGCAATCAGCGCCACCGCGTCACGTCGGTGACAACACGCTAAGAGGCTTAAAAAATATTCATTGCATATCCATCTTGTCGATTTTCAGGACGTCGATTGGGTAAATTCTGCGACCACGACATGTGGTTATTGCGTTTGAAGCTGAACTAACTATAAGAGAAATAAATTTACCGCTAGTGGTGAGAAGAACGAATGACTACAACGCTTTCTTTTCTGAGAAGTGGCCAGCTCTGGCTGCCAGGCCGCGAGTGAGAGAATAGGAGAGAGAACGTATAGGTAGATGAGAAGAAGAAGACAGTGCTCTGTAAATGTTCACGCCTCATGTGGGAGAAGCGGCGTACAGAAGCGGTCATAGCACTTTAGCGTCCCTGAGGCGATTATCGAGCGGTGTAAGCAAATCTCATGTGTTTATCCTACTCCATAAGAGGATTCGTCCAGCCAGTTGCTGCATGCACCTCCAAGCAGGGTCAACCCTATGTTGCTACAAGTAGCAACGGGGGGGGGTCGTATTTTGATGAGTTTGTAGAGGGGGGTCGTACTTGCTTCGGTTGTAAGAAGTTGCATGTGATGAGTGGGGAGCGGCGCGGGAGAAAATTTGCCGTTTCAGCGCGCGTATATACCCCCCTAGAAAATGAAGCAGTGGGATTATAGGTAGAAGTGGGGTAAATTGGTGGAAATTTAGGGAATTTTGGTAAATTTTTACTGTTTCAGAGTGACTATATACCCCCCCCCCTCGACGATTTTTGGAGGAAAAAGTGGGCGGGGTTCTGATGGAAGATGGAGATGGTGGAGGTAGGGAAAAGGGGGTCGTATCAAATCCACCTTGGGGAGGGGGGTCGTAAAATTTTTTTCGAAAAATAGCAACGATAGGACCGCGACCCTGACTCCCAACATTGGGTTGACTTTTTTGAGAAAGCAGGGCAGGATATACAGGCGAAATAATCCCTATGATTTTAGATACATATAGTATATGTTCTATACATAGAGAGCACATAAATCAGTCATGTTAGGTCAATCAGTGATCACATTTTGTTTAAGGTGTCAATACTGATCCATTTTCACCACCAACTCGTAAACGGAAGGTCAAGAAATCGGACAAGGTTCGTTTAAGTTTGCACAAGTTCATATGCACTTCCTTTCTCCTTTAGAAAACGGATTGGAGACTTGGAGATTTGCACCCATAACGCTACTAGTAGTGCCGACCCTGCCATAATATGTACAGACATATGAGAAATGTACGAAAATGACACCGGAACTCAGCAGTGTAGGGAGAGGGTCTAGCTTCATCTGAGTGACTGTGTAAACAACTCTTGTTTGGGCGGAAACTGTTTTCCACGCTAATTCCCTCTACACGAGATACCATCTTCCTGAAACCCACAGGAGATGTTTCATTGATGTGGGATCAACAGTTACTCCGCAGCCCTATCCCTTGGGATACCCCAGGCCATAGTGCCATGGAAAAGTCTAGCATTTACCAAGAAAACCCCGAGCTCAGTACCCTCAGCTGCCCTTCAAATTGAACAAAAAATCCTTACCCGCAGTGAGAGGAAGCAGAGCCAACAGTATAAACAGGAAGTTCGCTAGAATACCGTCCCCACTCCCTGTCCCCCGACCTCACCCCTTCTAACTATCATCTTTTTAGGCACCTCAAGCAGTTCCTGGCCAAGAAGAAGTTCGCCA